AATTTCCGCTTTTTTTGCTTATCGTTTATTTTTTTATTCGTTTACTAATTAAAACTTTCACTCATTAATTCATATATTCATCTATTTACTATTTTTATTTGAGTAGAAGAAAATAAAAATGAAAATAAAATACTAAGAAAAGAATTGCAACATTTTTCCAACAATATTATAGACATAGAGAGGACTGTGAAAATCAAACTCTTCGTCTTTTATCATTTGTAATCAGCCACTGGTGATAATGGTTGATATTTCTGTTTACTTAGGCTTAATTATTATCAGCGTTGCTCCTCCGATACTTAATGACACTTGAAATGATACTACAGTAAAGATATGAGAAAATTTTGTGTGAAACTTTCCTAAGGTTTAATTAATCATTCATCAAACTAAAATGATATACACTTTAATAGTAACCAACATATTTATTATTTTATTATCAAATTGTAGTTATTATATCGTATACTTTCTCATTTTAAGATTATTTAATACATCTAAAATTGTTTGGGTTGAAGAAAAAGCAAACAAATAGCCATTCTAAAATCATTAATTAATCTTAATTATTGTATTCTTAACTATATTTCGCTTCTATACTTGATTTTTTTTATTCGTTTATTTTATTAATTTACATAATTGAAACATTTCATTCCTTTTCCATCTTCTATAATAAAGCATAATAAATTTTGTCTAGCTAATTAGCTGATACAGTATCATTTTCGTATGTGTTATTTTTGTTGACATCTGACAAAAAAAAAAATGTCAATATGATTTAAGAATGTGAAGCACTAAGAGAGAGGGGCGGTAAGCAGGAAAGGAATAACGGATTGATGGATGTTGTAGGTTTTGGAAAATTTTTGAACGACAATGTCACACATTGATACAATACAATGTGACATTCGTTTCAATGATAAGAATTTTTTTTTTGGTAATGATTTTATCATATTATTGATATCAACATTATGCATAATTATATTATATTTAAAAAAAGAAAAAAATTTTTTCCATCGTTTTTATCATTTAATTCTTTTTTTTTTTTCACAAAAAAGTTCGTAGCATTTGCACTTTTAAGACAAAACAAATGAATCGTTTAGTTACATCAATGGATAAGCGTTATTGTTCATATGTCATTCATGTCATCTTTATTGTCATCATAATAAAAGAGTGAATCATTTCTTCGATATTGGTTACATTACGAATTAATGGCATTGTTTATATTTAGCTCATCGTTTTAACAATTTTTTATTTTTTTGTCTTTAAAAAAAAAAAAAAAAAAATTGAAATATAAGAAAAAAAAGTTAAAAGATGCATGATTTATATACTTTTAAATAATAAATGTTTAAAAATTTTTGCACTCATCGAATACTCAATATGAAATTTTCTGCAATGCAAAAAAAAAAAGAATGTTGAAAAAAAAAATACATTTTCATTAATTTATTCGATTATTTCACTAATTAATTCCTTCTATTTTATTCGTTAACATTCAAAATGAGGGAAGAATGCTTCCGTAGTAATAGTAGTAAAAGTAGTAGTAATAGTAATAGTAATAAAATAGTAATAAAAGTAGTAGTTAATAGAAGATTGGAGAAAAGTAAGAAATGAATAGGTTAGATAGATGATGGATTTATTAAAAAATTCCACTAATCGCTAAAAGTTTAATCTAGGTAATTGTTTTGTCAAATTTTCTCTTCTTTTTTATTTTTACTACTAATAATCAATCATTCATTTCGTTAATTTTTAATATGTGATTTAAGATTTTTTCACCCATTTATTTAAATTTTTCAAATTTAATTGTAAAATATATTTTAAAAGCATTTCAATGTATACTATCCTGTCCTCTCTAATCCCTTTTAATGTTCATAAATTTAATTAGAAAATTATTCGCTTATCTGTCTTAGTTTATTTTACCCTTGCTTTTTCTAGGTATTCATTCAAACCTTGCAAATTTGATTAGAAATTATTTTATCTATCCTATCTTATCTATATTTTAAATTTTTGCAAATTAAACTTTGCAAACTTCATTAAATTTGAAATATTTTGAAATGTACATATTGATATGACACTACATATAATTTAGCATATTTCAACATTTTTAATGTTTTTTTTTAGGGAAAGAATAAAATTGCGCCGAATTCTGCTGTGTCCTAAATATGTAGAAAGATCATAATGATGATGATGATGATTGGTGATAATGTGATGATTGGTAATGGTGATGATGACTGATGATGATGGTGATGATTGGTGATGATGATGATAATTGGTGATAATATGATGACTGGTAATGATGGTGATGATGATGATGATGATGGTGATGATTAGTGATGATGATGATGATTGGTGATAATATGGTGATTGGTGATGATGGTGATGATGATGATGATGATGGTGATGATTGGTGATGATGATGATGATTGGTGATAATATGGTGATTGGTGATGATGATGATGATTGGTGATAATATGATGACTGGTGATGATGGTGATGATGATGATGGTGATGGTGATGATTGGTGATGATGATGATACTATAATAGATGATTGTAAAAAGTTATAATATGTGATAAACAATGCTGATTTATCTTTTAAACAAAAATTTATTCTTCACAAATATTTTCGTTATTTCTTCCTTTCATTCGATGACAAAAAAAATGTCGGAAATAAAATTGACGAATATATCGGTACAAGTTTATAATTAATACAAATGAGACTAAGAGAGATTGTTTTAGGATGTATGGTACAAATACAAATATGGCTGTGAAATATCTTGTAATAATTGCAAATGAGATTATGGATTATTCTGAGATAATCTGAGATAGATACAAATAATCTTGAATAAATTATAATAAAGTAATATTAATCACTTTTCTATAATCTACAACGGACAATTTATCAGTGTTTATTGGAAATTTTTAGAAATTCATCAACCAATGAATAAATCACCTATTCTTGGCAAGCGATCGCAAGAGATTACAACAAATTATATTGCTTGCTATCAGATAATGTCAAGTTTTTCTTTCCTTTTTTTAATTGTATGTCTATAAAATCTGAAAAATAATTGTACCATTAAAAATTCCCAGTTATTCTTATTCCAAAATTTTGAAAATTTAAATAAGAGTTATAAGATTAAAAAAAATGAAGATAATAAGAATGCTGTAATTAATTTTTCCTAATTAATTATTTTTTTATATTAGATAAAGTCTTATTAGAAATCAAAAATTAGTAATTTAGTTGAAAAGGTAAATTTTGATAAAAAAATTAGTGTGGAAATCTAGTTTGAATTATATGTAGTTTAAATTTATATGCACAGTTTTTTTCAATAAACTAGAAAAAGAAATTTTCATTTTATTCGCCATTCTAAGCAGTGCGTGCAAGTATCGCACATAAAACTTCTTTTTAATATTTTTGCAAATTTAAAAAAGAAAGAAAATTCTTTTCAATTTCATCATTTTTATTTGTTTCTTAAAACGTCAAAGACTTATTAAATAGATGGTTGAAATCGTTTCAAACAAAAAAATTAACTGCATTTTACATATTTCATTTTGTATGATTCTTTCCTTTGCATTTTTTTTTTGCGCTTTTAAATATTTTTAATTGGAATTGAAAATAGATAAGGTTTTTTTTTTCTTTTTTTTGTAAATTTATAAAAATTCGTTAGCTGTTCCGTTTAATTATGTAAATTTTTCTCACTATTATTGTCAACGTAAATTTACATTCTTGCTTGCTTATTCTTGCAAACGAAAAAGTTGGTGTTATGGTTAAAATGGCAAAAATTCAACATTTAAAAAAAAGGAGTTTGCGAGGAATTTCATATTTTTGTGATTTTTTTGGTCTTCTAAAATTCATGTCACCAAAAAGCTATGAGTAATGAATTCATTAATATTGTTGTAAAAAAATAAAATCATTGAAAATTACTCAGATTTAGAAATAATTCAATCATTGAATAATCAGTTTTACTGAAGTAAATAGAATATGCATTTCTAAAAATTTCATAAACTTCATGCATGAAATTTGATGAAGAGAATTGTGTAAATGACAATTTAAATTTAAATTACCATTGAGTAATATTAATTTAAGAACTTGGAAATCTTTAGAGTAGGAAAATTTTCGAAAAGGAAAAAGAAATAAATAATTTGATTTGAATGAAATTAATCTAAACAGTTAATGATAACAATGGTATAGGAAAAAATTAATTATTTCTCAATTTTTATCAACTGTATCAAAATTTTTGAAAATTATATTTAATTTAATTATCTGTTAATGCAAATTCATTTACTAAACATTAATTAATATTTATTTTTAATTCAGCTTAATAATAAGTAATAAAATTTTTGGATAGATATGTTATTTAAGTTTAGTATATTATAAAAATTTTGGTTATTCGATATAATCGATGAAAATATCTATGAGAAAAGATTATGATAGAAAATTTTTAAACTGAAATATTCTCCTATGTTGATATATATGTATTTTTATGTATATTTTGTGTCCACTTTGGCTATACCATAAAATTTATTGTTTGGCCATTTATTTGATGGAGCAGAATCTTTCTGTTCTCAATGCCACGCCTTCAATAATAAAGCATATCACTTCACCGAAATATGTGTGTATGTGGGTATGTGTATGTGAGTATGCGTGTATGTGTATGTTTATGCGTGTGTGTATGTCTTCTGTATGTGTGTGTGTGTGTGTGTATGTGCACATACATATCCTGTAGGAAAAGTATTTTTATCATTTTGTTGTTCATGAAAAAAATTTCAACTATTTATAGATGACAAATTTGCTGAACAAGTAACGGAATTCGGAATACTTAATCTATTCGGGAAAAAAGAAAACGAGGAAGAAAAAAAAAAAAACGGCAAAATTTATTGTATTATTTTTATTGATCTGATCAATTAATTTATCAATTGATTCTGAATCAGTGAATATTCTATCTGATTTGGCGCAAAATTGTCAAAAATAAGCAAAGAAAAAGGATTTCTATAATTTCAAGTTTATTCCGCCGAAATTTCAATGTCTTATGTGCCGGAAAAAGTTATATTTCTGACATTATTCTATGCTATAGTGGTAGTTATCACAGATTCCGTTTATGGTATTCCGGTACGTGAATTTCAAATAATTACTGATCCTGAAGCAGGAATAGCTGCTGATGGTGAACCAATTGATTTATTAGTTTCATCACGTTCCGGTGACAAACAAAATGATCAGCGATTATTTGGAACATTTTCAGCTGCAGGAAGAAATTATGAAACTTCTGGTGATATTGTACAGGTATGTATGAATTTTTGTAGTATATTCAGATAATTTTATTTCATTTGTTAGCATAAAATTATTATAATTATTAGCTTATAATCATTTCAAATCAGATTACTGTAACATTTAGCTGATGAATTCGTAAAATGAAATTAAAATTTCAATCGAAAAAATCTAGAAAATCGTCGTTCCTTCTTTTTTTTTATTCAAAATAATAGGATTTTATTTATATGAACGAATATGAATTAAATTTGCATATGAAAAAAGTTCATTAAATGTCCTTTGAATTATATCTAAAATGTCTTAAATTCTTTTCTGAAAAAAAAAAAACGCTTTTTTTGCTTCGATTTTGAAAATTTTCAATTAATTATTGGAAAAGATTGGTAGACTTTTTTTTTTCGTTTTTTTCGTTTTTTTTTTCGTTTTTTTTTTTGGAATTGCTGCACACAATTTCGATAACAAAAAAAAGAAAGGAGAAAAAGTGAATGAAATTAAATTGAATGTTAAATTTAAATTTAATCCGATCATCATGATTATTTTATTTATTTTATTATCATATCAGGAAGAAATGAAATACCTTTTTAAAGTTACGCATTATTGTTTAATGCATCAATTTCAAATTTTTAAATTTTCATGCCTAATTTGATGAAAATGATGTGGAAAACAAATAAAATTCATACATACACTTATAAGTGAACTTGATAATAATAGTAATAAATAAGTAATAATGCTAGTAAAATATTATTTTTTATTTTATATGAAAAGCATTTCAAAACATTTCATTATATTTTTTTTCCTTCTTTTTAGTTGTATTTAACTTATGTTAGTTTATTGAGTATGAAACTTTAAAATAATTGGCAAATAACCTTCAAAAAAAAAATGAAAAGCAGTTCCTATAGTCGAAAATTTGAAAGAGAAAGAATAAAATTTTATAAAAAGATTGAAAAAAATGTTAAAATATCAGATGTAGTCTAATTCTTATTTTGGGACTAGTTTTTAAATTTCGTATCACATCGACTAAATTTTGAAATTTCATGTCGGCACCTTTTTTTCTTTTTTTTTTCTTTTTGAAAGTATTATAAGAAAAGGAAGAGATAGAGCAATGAAAACGATTAATATTTTTTTTTCTTTTTAATCTATCCTAAAAATTCAAAATACCGAAAAAGAATGAAAGATGAAAGAAAGGAGGAGAGAAATGGCGAAAGATTTATGATACATAGCAATAAGGGTGGTCTATCATTTCGTATGATTTACAAAATTTTTGACATACCTTTGATGATAATGATAGTGATAGTGATAATGATAATGGTGATAACGATGATCACAGTGATTTTATCGTTATAACTAATATATGTTAAAGCACTTCTTTTCATTTTATCTTACTTTTCAAAATATCATTGCCTTGCCTCGTTATGTTAACATTGATTACAATTGAGCCTAGTTAGTGATGATAAAGTTAATTTTATAAATTGAAAAATAAAATAAAATTTTTGAAAACTAAATTATATTTTTATACGATTATATTAATGTCTTTTTTTTATTTTTTGACAATTAAGCTTTTTCTTTTCTTTGTCTTATTTTCCTGTCTCTATATTTAAATTTAAATATTCTAAAGATGTGTTAATAAATTTTTCCTTCTTCTTCCTCTTCATTTTCCATTTTTCGATGTAACTCAAAGAAAATTGTTGATTTATTTCAGTCTAAAATTCTCTAATTTATTTATTTTTTCTTTTTTCCTTTTTCTTTTTTTTGATCTTTCCCGTCCAAAAACTATTAGGAAATGATGCCATAAAACAGAAAGAAAATTTTGTTAATTCCTTTTCCAACAATGATTTAAAGTGATGGGAAAAAAACGAACTTTTGAAGGCAAAACTTGTTTGAAATTAATAACAATTCACAATTCCTTTCGTCTTTCTTATATTATGTCACATTTTTTTGCAAAAATATTAGAATTATGTTTAGCTAATTAATTTTTCTGGCTTACATTACATTTTTATTTTTTAATAATTAGCAATATAACAACAATCGGTTGTTTAATTTCATTTTTCGGGAAAACTACTGTTTTATTTTTAGTATTTTAATCAGTGGATCAAATAGTATTCAGCAATAAATGATGATAATATTCACAGAAAAGGAGAGAAAAAAAAAAGAGTATTAAAATCTATATTCATTAATGAGGTAAGTGAAATTTTAGAGGGAGAAATATATTAGTTTTATTTTATGAAACACAAATTAAAATGAATTCTTTTTTTTTTTTTCAAATTTTAAATTTATCAATTATTCAATTAGAAAGGCATAACTTATTTACATTTAGGTGACTGTTTCCTTTTTTGTATAACATATTAGCATAAAAGAATAAAATAAATTTAAAAAAAGGGAAGACATTTGATTATATTTAAAAGTTGGAGAGATAGAGGAAGCGAGTATTATTTATAAATTTATTATTTCTTTTTTTAAGTCACTTTGAAAGAAATTTTTATAATTATTTCACTGAATATATTTTATATGCTTTTTTCCGCTTTTCAATTCTATGTTTGAAAATTAGATAATAAATTTTCCCGAAAAAAAGAAGAAAAACTGTAAAAAAATTTTTCCTTATTATGTTGTACACTTGACATTAAATCCTCTATATTTGTTTGCTTTTTTCTGCTTTAAATAGAAGTTTATCTTAAAAAAATTCAATTCTTTTTTTTAAAAATAAAAAATTCAGATCAGTGATAATTGATAATAAATCATATTATAAATAGTATCAATTTAATATTACACTAATGCAAACGAATAAGTTTATCCAGTTAAATTTATATTTATTTTAAATTATTCAAAAAAACACTTCTTTACAATTTTTTTATTATATTTTATTATGTTAAAACAATAATTTTTATTATGCAAAAAACAAAGAAATAATAAATGAAACGCAAAGAGAATGTATTATTCTTATTTGAAACAGTCGAAAAAAATTGATTTTATGCCATTTTTCAAAAATACATCCAATAATGTATTTATCATATAGCTTGAAATAATTGAGAAGATTGATAATTATGCTAATTTTTAAAATATTAATTGTCATACAGCATCTTCTTAATTTATTTATTGTAAATTGTAATTTATCTATGTTTTTTTTTTTTTCTTAATTTTTAATTTTATCTATTATTCTTTCTTTTTTATGATTATTTTTCATTTATTTTTATTAGCAATGCAAGAAGATAAGATAAATATTAACATAATGTGAGAATAGATGCAATAAGAGTAAATATGTTAAAATTGGATTTGTAAGACTAAGAAAAATTCCGAACAATTTGAAATAGACAAGAAAAATGGTATCAAAGCATATTTGCTCGTTTAATGATCCATCGTTAAAAATAATGTCGTTGGCCGTCACTGCTAAATGATCCCCGATGGATGATAATAAATGTTGTCGTTGTCGTCATTATTGTCATCGTAAAATGGCTAGAATAAGAAGGAAAAGAAGAAAAGGAAGAAAGGAAGGAAAGGAGGAAAAGAGGAAGGAGGAAAATGAAAGGAAAGAATTAAAAAAGAGGGATTTTATATTATTTTAACTTTTTTTTTTTATTATTATTATATCTAAAAATTTTTCTTTTGTTATTTCTTTCTTTTCTTTTCTTTTTTTTATTGTTTCTTTTTTATGCGTGTAAAAATGTTTAGAAGAAAAAAAAAAAGAAAAGAAAAATTAAATGATAAAATATGACATTGATGTAAATATTTGCTTGGTTAGTTTTTTTTTTTTTTTATTCTTTGCATTCATTTGGATTTTCTTTGAATGTCGGCAATCTTTTTTGAAGTTTTTTTCTTCTTTTTTTTTCCTTTCATTCTCCGATTTTATTTATTTATTTATTTTTTTCTTTTTTTAAATTTTTTTTTCAATGAAAAGTACACATGCATATATACATATAAATAGCATCAGATGTGTTATATAATAAATAAAAGAATGATTCATGAATCTATCGTTATATGATGGAAGCTTTTTAAAGTACATAAAAGGACGTTTTGTATCTTTTTTTTTTGTAAAATTAAAAAAAAAGCAAATAAATAGTAGGATTTAGGAATTTATGATTATGTGTATAAAGAATAAAAGACAAAAATTTAAAAATGATTTTTTTTTTTTCATTAAATATTGCTTAAATCATTTTTTTTTAATTATTTTTTTTTTCAAATTTTTAGATTGGCTAAATATTTATAGGCAAAATAATAATTGATTCGATGGTAAATTTAAATAATGCAAAAAAAATTCAGGAATACCGGATATGTATTGATGATGTATAAGTGAGCTATCATGAAATGATTCAAATGTTCTGCTAAATGAATGAAATAAATCAATGCAATATGTGAAAAAAAAAAATGAAATTAAAATCAAAGCTATTACAAACAAATAATTTATGATGTTGTTGTTTTTTTTTTTTTCATTTGATTTTAACTTTAAATTGAAGTAAATAATTTAATTTATAGCTTTCTCATTGAAACAATAGTATGTAAAATGAAATAAAAAGTTGAAGTAGCATTACAGAAAAAAATATGAATTAGACAGATATAAAAATATATGAAAGTTTTATTAAATTATATTTGAAAAAAAAGTTAAGTAATGAAATTTAGCTGAGTAAAATTTTTTTGAATATTGGTTGATTTTTTTCTTTGTTTCTGTTTTAAAATAATTAGTTTAAATTTAAAAATTCTGATTTATTATTCAGGCATTTTTTTATTTTATATTTTTATTTTTTATTTTGAAATTTAATTACTTGGTTTTTATTTTATTAAAAATATGAAAGAAAATTAATAAAATTTTATAATTTATTAATCAAGTTCTTTGATTGATTGATCCTTTCATTTAATTGATTATTTTGACTGTTTGATTGATTGATTGCAATTAAAGAAATTTCAAATAAATAAACATTGATAATTTGAAAATTTTCAGTGATTATTTTCTTCTCCTTTCTCCTTTCTAGCATATATCATGTAATAAATAACAATGATAATGGAAAATTATTTAATTTCCGTTTTTATTTCAATCTTTCAGGTCTACCTTATCAAATCTATTTCACTATCAATAAGCCTATTAAGCATCGCTTTTAATATCTTCAAGATATTGCCTTGCACAAAATCATTAACGTTAATCAAAATGTCTTCGATGCAATAATCGATGGAAGATGATGATGATGATGATGATGATGAAATGGAAGGAATGTGAAATTAAAATGAAAGGAAAGAAAGAAAGCATATAGTTTAGAGGGTAGATGAAGTTGAAATTACTACTACTTCGATTGAAAGATTTCGAATTGAAAAATTACTTCTCGTAAACTAAGGGAAAGGCAAACGAAGCACTTTAGGGAAATAATTCTTCCTTTCCAATGATTTAAAATCTAATTTAGAGAGAGAAAAAAAGTAATGGATGCAAAGGAATGTTGGTAGTATAAAATTTTGTAATATGTATATATGATATTAGTAAAAGCTAACAATGGCTAATATTATTTGATAAAATATCTATTTTATTAAATTAGCGAAAAAAAAAAAGATTTTTTGCATTATTTGAATTCATTTCATATTTTATTAAAATTCAATGAAATTCAAAGTGATTTAACGATATGAAATTCAGTAAATGATTGCATTTTTGATTAGCTTTTTAGTTTTACGAATGAAATTGATAGTATGTGGGAATCAACAAAAGTTTTTCTTAATTGGATTAATTTGAAATGATCACTGTATTAGATATAATCTGTTATTAATTGAATGCTTAAACAAAACGATAATCGTATAACAATATAAAATGAAATAATTGATTTAAAAACAAAAATATATATATAATATATATATAAAAGTTAATAATTTGTATAAAAGTTTTTGCACTATTTTTTTCTTCATTGTTCATTTTAAAGTGTTTAATTTTAATAAAAGAAAAATTTATTTTAATGCTTTCTTTTTCTCATTCATCAATGTAAGTAAATTTATATTAGGTTACAAAAAACTGCATGCTTAATTTTCAATTGTTTGTTTGTTTGTTTGTGTTTTCATTTGAATCAGAAAAAAATTTGCTAATTTTGAATTGCTAATTAAAATGTTGAAAAAAAGACATATTAAATCATTCCCAACAAACAAAATGAACAATTTTAAATTAAACTTACGACAAAATAGCAAATTCATTTTCCACATTTCTTTTATTGAAATAATTGTAAATTGAAGAAAGGAAAAAAGATACATTGAAATAATTCTTTTTATTTAAAATTAAACTCTTAAAGAAAAACAAGAAGTTGATTTAACAATTTTTTATACATACATACATACATTTTTTCTATTTCTGTTTTATCCATCCACTTTTTTTTTCTTATATTTAATCTTTAATTTTTTGCAATTTAATTTTTCACCAAAATTTTCCTTCCTTTTCCATTTTCTTTTCTTATTCATTTGATTTCAATTCTAATCCATGAAAAGAATGATCTAGAAAATATCTAATTAAAATTAGATGAAACATGAAATGATAAATTGAATTGAAAATTAAACATCGTTCTTTTTTTTCCATTTGTAAATAATGAAAAGAAAGGAAATTCATCCTTTCATTCTTCTTTCATCATTTTTTGTTAACAGCATTTCCTCCTTTTTTTTCTTTAGCTTTCTGATAATCCATTTTAGACTAAATTTGCTAGGCTCATTTATTATATCCCGGGAATTGCAATAGTGAAGAAGTGTGTATTATTTACAGAATGGCCAATAATATTAGATGAAAAGAAAAACGAACGACTAAAGATTAAACATTTAGGCAATTTGTTGATTATTCAAAATATATTCCATTCAATCATTTTACATTCATATAAAAAATAAATATTTTTATTTGATATTAACATTCAAAAACTTAGGAAAAAATGCATAATAACAATATTAATCAATGGAAGAAGAAATAATTATCATTTGTGAAATATTTTATAATAATTAAAAATTCTGATTTAATACTTTGCCAGATTTAATCCCATACTAACATATTGTTATTTAGGCTTTAGCCTTATATGCTTTTTGTGGGTTGGATTAAAATTTAAAATATATATATGTATATATGTAAATTTGTTTGATATTATATGTATGAAATATAAAGAATACTTTTTAAAAAAAAAAATGAAAAGAGAAGTAAGAGAAGAATGCAAGTAACAAAAAAGCAAAAACAAAAAAGTGGGAAATCTTAAGTTATTTTTTTTTAGATGAAAGAAATGAAATGTATGATACTTTATTAAATTTCATCTTCTTTCAAAGACTAATGTTTTTACATATATTTTTATAATTTTTAACGGTTTTCTTTCTCTTTCAAATCATCCATTTTATTTTAATTATTTAAAATCCAATTTGAAATAGTTTAGCAATATAATCTGCTAAATTTATATTGCTTAAATTTAATTAGGGAAAAAATATATGTGACACAAAATGAAAAATGAAGAAATAATGATTTTTACAATATGGTCGAAATCTTTCAATTAATGAAACTTATCACAAGAATTGAAAAGTGATGGATTAATTATGTATGACTAATATATCTTTAGATGTGATTGATTAAAATAATATGGTAATGATTACATTTAGCATAATTCTATCAGTCATTTTTAGCTGTTCATCTCATCTCATTTTATTTTAATTTTAGTTTTAACTTTTTTTAATTTTTTTTTCTGTTTTCTATCCTCATACTAATGCATTCTCACTATTTATTTTTATCTTCCTTTTTTTTTAACTTATTTTATTTTTTTTTTCATCAGATTATTTTCTCTCTTTTTCTTTCTTTTATCTTTCTTTATTATTTTCCATTTGCAATTTTATTTTATACTAATAATATTATATTCAGAAAAAAAAAATTTTTTTTTTATTAATTTAATTCTCATAAGGGAAAAAAGAAGAATTAAAAAAAAAAAAATGAAAACTAAAAAATGAGAAGAAATAAGAGAAAGAAGAAAGACGGACCGCGATAATGAATTATTACATAACATAAGCAAACAAATCCTTATTTCCTGAATGTTGTGAATCGGTTTCTTTTGAAATTTTTCAAGCTGATAATTTCACTGATCCGTTAAAACACACATACACACACACACACATACAAATAGACAGACGATATGCATGTAATTTATCAATTTTAAATAGAATTGAGGATTGAATTTGAAGATTTTCCAAGGTTAAAATGTAATTTAGAAATTCGATTAGTTTATTTTTGTCTATTTTAACAATAAAAGTTGACTATTTAAAGCATATTTGCATTATTTCCGCTTTAAGACACATTGTTTTTAGAAAAAATTTTATTAAACCATGTTGCAATTTATTATGGGATAAAATTTTTAAATTAAATTTGGTATTTTTCAAAAATAGTTTTGAAATAATTTCAGTTTTAATTTATTTTAATTCATCGGAACTGTAATTATGAAACAGTTATTGATTCTTACATATTTGTTATATAAGAATGGTGATTATATTTGTTAAATTTAACTGTTAAAATGAGGACATGATTAATAAATAGTATTTATTTGTTGTATAACATAGGAGAAAAATAAACAAATTATAATTTTTAAACTAAAATCACATGAGAATAATTAAGATATCATTTTGGTGATGCTAATTGAGAAAGCTTGTTGCATACTTATCGATTTTAGCCTATTTTCCATTGTTTACTTCTTCATCGTAAATGATTAATTATCAACAAATTACAGTAATAATTCACTGTAGGATAAAATTTTCAATTAAATTTAACGATTTTTGAAAATAATTCTGAACAGATATTTACATATTTATAGGTATTTCCATATCGAGCATGTGATATTAAAAGAAAAGGCTATGATCGTACGCTTATCGACCATATTGCCATCGTATTTTTCGATGATTTGGAACCATTTATTACTGGATGTGTTTCATTGGATAATCAAGTTAGTATCATTGTTATTTTACAATTTTTTTTAAATAAAAAAAATTTCTTTTGAATATTTTTACAAAATGAATCAATTTTGAAAATATTTAGTTATTCTATTGTTTTCACATCTATGTGAATAATTTCCTTTCATTTATTTAAAAAAAAACAAATGAACATTTTTAAGGATTGTTGGAAAAAAAATCTTCCGCGATTGCAAAATATGAAGAATCGCATTTCATTACTCTCTTCTATAATAATCATTTATCAATTTAAAATTTAATTTTGAAAAATTATGCAAATTTAATTTTGAAATATATTCCTAATTTCAAATTTAATAACAGTGTGAAATTTAATGCGAGTAATACATAACAGATTTGTAAATTACAAAAATATCGATTCATATTTTATTATTGCATTGAAAATTTGGCAGTTTAAAATTACCCCAACATTATTAGTAAAAATTTTGAAATTAGTCCTTTCTATTACTAAATCATTATAATAAGAAGTAATTATGCTAATTGTGCTGCACAAATAATTCTTATCGTTTTATACCTAAACAAAGCTATAATTTATAATAAATTAAATTTATTTTCAACACGAAATTAACAGCTACACTAGTTCTTATTGACTTCCATTTTTCCTTTTGTTTTTCTGAAATGATTTTTTTTTTTTTTTTTAAACAAAGTATATCATAATTTTGTGTAACATAATACCTGAAATATAGAATCTTATTGTAATATTTCACTTTCATTATATAAAAGAAAAAAGAAAAGGAAAAAATCCTTTTACCATCTTTTTTAATGAAAGATTGCTCTGATAATGAAAATTAATAATTAATATATCAGATATCATCATCATATTATCATCATCATTATCATCACTATTACTATCATCATTATTATTATTATTATCATGAAAATTATTATTATCAAATATTATTATTGCTATCACTGTTATTTTCATCATCATCATCATTATTATTATCATTATTTGTAAATGAAAATGAAAAATCCCATTAAAAATTAAATAATGAGCACATTTCGTTGAGCTAAAATTTATGGTTCCCAAACATCCATCCATTCATCTATGCATCCGGTAAACCATCCTGAATTGCATACCATCTGTCTTTTCTTCTCATCATTATCATTATATTCACTGCTATTTCATTTTATTCGATCACTTAAATATTACAAACCAATTTTAGGGAAAATAGATGAAATTGAAAGAGGGAAAGGATAAATTAAAATATTTTTTGTTAAAAAAATGAAAAGAGCAACTAATCAATAATTAGTCATTTTTTTTGAAAGAAAAACAGAAGGAAAAAAACAAACAAAAACTTTTAATTTTTAAACTTTGACTGCGTAATGTATTAAAAATTTATATTAGATAAAAATTATATATTATTTACTATAGGTTGTGTTAATGATAAGATAACTGATAAATCGTTGACTTACTTTCCAGTACTGAATATCATTATTCATTAATATTATCATATTACACAGTTAAAAATAATTTCACTAATTTGATTTAGGACGAAATAAGGATTAGTTAAACTGTGGTACTAATTATATTATTTTAGTCTTAATGAATATTTCAAATTATTCATTTTCACTCTCTGTCCCTCTTTTTCTCCTTCTTTACTACCTATCTTTTTTTGGACGTATAGTCGTTAAATAAGAAACTGGATTAAATTAATTAATTAATCAACCAATAAATACCAATTAAAATGTTCTAAAACTGAAGTTTCGACATTCTAAATGAGATAGTAACAGTTAATATTAATTGAGAATTTACTAGTGAACATTAGATTGAAATGATCATTTCATTATTTATTAAATTTTTCGTTTCATTTTTTTTTTTTTTTTAATTTATAGTTAAAGTATAAGTTTTATTCAGGTTCGTTTTGCTGAAAAATCAGGCGCAGTTGGATTGGTTGTCGGACCAGAAAGTCGCATAGTAGCACAAATTGATAAGGTTATGTAAAAGTTTAAATAATTCTTTCGTTTTTTTCTTCTTTCACTTTTTTTTTAAAAGAAAAAAAAAAAGCAAAATTTATGTTTTTAACATGTCTTAATGTAAGTTTTATTACCATTTAGATAAAAATAAAGGTTAAAAATATGACCTTTAAAATAAATAGAATTTAAACATTTGCTAGTTCTAAATTTTAATCTTTAATTAACTTATTTCAGACACAACGTGGTCGTATACCAGTTGTAATGTTGGATGATTTAGAAACAAAACGATTGAAAAAACAATTAAACGAAGCAACACTTAGTGGTTCTGTAATTCGAATTGCTTTTGAATACGTTGATTTTGAACCACAGTATGCTTTACGATTACAGGTAATTATGATCTTATCATCTTATAAAGTAAGAAGATATTGATAGCTGTAGTGATAAGGAAAATATGATAAGAAGTGATAACATACATAATCACTTATCGTTTACATTGTAATTAATCAAAAATAAGAAAAATTTCAAGATTGTTTAATCAATTCACTTTTGTTAATTAGCCTTTTTAAATTAAGCTTACTTCTCTCTTTCTCTCCTATCATCGTATAAGTTTTTTTTAAGTTTTTATTTTGGCATTTTGATTTTAATTTATTTTATTCTATTTTCAACTGGAAAAAATTAAAGCAATCAAAAATGTTTATCCAATTTATGTGATGAAAATACGTTATATACCACTACCACACTACTACTACTACTACTACTACTACTACTACTACTACTACTACTACTACTACTACTACTACTACTACTACTACTACTACTACTACTACTACTACTACTACTACTACTACTACTACTACTACTACTACTACTACTACTACTACTACTACTACTACTACTACTACTACTACTACTACTACTACTACTACTACTACTACTACTACTACTACTACTACTACTACTACTACTACTACTACTACTACTACTACTACTACTACTACTACTACTACTACTACTACTACTACTACTACTACTACTACTACTACTACTACTACTACTACTACTACTACTACTACTACTACTACTACTACTACTACTACTACTACTACTACTACTACTACTACTACTACTACTACTACTACTACTACTACTACTACTACTACTACTACTACTACTACTACTACTACTACTACTACTACTACTACTACTACTACTACTACTACTACTACTACTACTACTACTACTACTACTACTACTACTACTACTACTACTACTACTACTGCACTGCACATTTATTTACTTTTATTCTTAAATCTGGATTACTCAGTTCATTTTTTTTATCCCTCCAACAAATGCACTATCTTACTAAGTTTATCAGTCTCTGTGATAACACTTCAAAGCTATTTCTTTGCTCTTTAAATAAAACTTTTATTCGAACTTTTTGCTAATCTTTAGACCTTTACTCGCTTAAATATTCTGCTTGTTTGTAGTAATTAGTATTATTACTCATTAAATCAATGGATAAATTTGTCAATAAATGTCTAGCTGTAATTTGAAATTATTTAAATTAAGATATTTCGGCCGACGGTATTAAATATTGGCTTAATTATACTGTTGATATTATTAATAATGTTTATCACTGGTTTGGTATATATCAAAATTCGATGGAGGCCTACAACCCATCGTGATATTTGGTTACGTACATTAGCCCGGTTAATTTTTTTTTTTTTTTTTTTTAAATTTTGTTTGAGATTTTGATTTTAAATCATAAATATAATAAAATCTCTTAAATTTGAACTACGATTTTAGAATTATTATTATCAGAATTTTGGCGTGCTTTTCCAATTTTTTTTTCAAAAATTTCAATGGATGGGAACTATTAATTGATAAAAATTTCAGTTATATAAAATTCAATTATTGATATAAATTTTAACGGATAACGATGAATTTCGATGAATATATTGATTTAAGCTAAAGATGATAGTATATTCTCGTCTTCTGCTCAGATATGCTAATCAAATGATTTATCTTTTAGAGCTGCAGTAAACAAAATGGAAATTCGAAAATTTGAAAAAAATGACAGTTTTGGCGTAAATACCACTAATAAATTACACAAAAAGCGCTCATTACTATGCCTTCCATCAAAACGACGTTACTTGCCAGTGTTTGGTTCACTTACATCCGTTGCACGAAGTTATAATGGCCAGGTCTATAGCATCATGCACTGACATTTTAAATTTAATTAAAATTTTCAAAAATTTTATTTTTTCTTCTTTATTTTTAATATTTATTTCATCACAATTTTTCTTTCGCTTTTTTTTTTCCTTAATTTTTATTCACAATTTCAGTTTTTCAAGTTACCTATTATTTCCTATGTATGTTATTATAGTATTTTTTTATTTTAAGGAACGTTGCAGTATTTGTTTGGAGGAATATAAGGAAGGGCAAGAATTACGAGTGCTCTTCTGTGGACACGAATTTCATCCAAAATGTGTCGATCCATGGTTACTTAGTAATAGGTAGTGATGAATATTATATATAATTCAAATTACTTATCATAAAATTTATAATAATAAATAAAAAATAAATAATAAGAAATAAACAATAAAATAAATAATAAGAAGTCTTGCATTACTATTTTTTATTTGATAAGCATAACATTATATGTGTATATATTTATTTATTCAATTGATTAAATTTATTTACATTGTTCATTGCTGTCTTTATTTAATTTCAAAATTTGATCTATGTACAACATATTGATTCTAAAAATTTTTAGGATCAAATTCCCTTTTAAATAATGATTTATGTAAATAAATATATAAATAATGCAAATGAATAATGTATTAGTTATATTTATATCTACACTTACATTGATATTTAAATTTATATTTATTATGAGAAATTGTATTATCACGAATTATTTCAATCCATAGAATTACGATAACTAAAATTTTTGTAGGCGTTGTCCATTATGTCAATATGATGTTGTATATAAGGAATATCCTAAAACAGAAAGCAAAACGAAAAATTATCAAACAAAGTAAGTTTGAAATTTATTATATGTTATGAATGAATATGTTTTTCCTCCAAAAAATTATAATGATTATAATTGTCATAAAGATATTCATGATTATGATTTACACAGAAATCATGATAAGTATCTGTTAATCATTGCATTTGTTCGTAATCATGAATAATAGAAAAAATTATACAAAATTTACTCCAAAACCTAAAGATATTGCTAATCTGAATAGATAGAAAGAGCTAAAATAATTTCCTTCCCTTTCTACCGTATTATTATCATTAGCATAATTTCAATTATCATATGCTTCTTGAGATCTATTTCAATTACGACATTGTTTATTAATGAATATATTATTTTAATCACTGAGTGAACATTTTAGTTCTTTATCAGTATGGGATTCACCGAATGCTCCCAGTGTACCATTATTATCAGTTTCAACAGAACATAATAATACCGCGGTTGCTGCTATTAATACTATTACCACTTCGAATGGATTGTTTACAGCTATTCATCATACCTCCACAAATGCTTATATGCAAATACAACCTGAAATTCAAACTTCAGTAGAAACGAGTAGCAGTAATAATACGATTGATTCTAGGAAAAGATATCATCGTAGAGGAATAATGAAGATGGAAAATGTAAAGTTTTCCTTTCATTAAATTAATAATTTTTACAGTAATTAAGCTTATTTTTCAAATTCTTCAACTTGACAATTCCATTATTTTATTCCATTTATTTAATTATAGTTATGATTTAATAATTTATTCACATGTTGTATTTTTTGTTTGAAAAAGAAAGAGAGATATCAAAGGTAAATGATAAAAATGATAAATAGCAATTAATGCATCTTTAAGAATATATTACATATTTAATCATTTATTTTTCTTTGCTATGTATTTTCAGTTATTTTAATTGAAATACTAAGTATGCTTATATTATTTAGGCAAATAATTTTCATCACTGTCTCGGTGCCAATAGATCATCATCGATTATTTGTCCTCAAAGTAATATCGTTGGATGGGATAATAATAGTCGAAAGCGAAATCGGCGACAAATGATCAATACAAGATCATCATCAAGACATTGCTTGCAAAAAAGATCTCGATCATTGGGTGCACATCAACGAAGCCAAGTTCAAAGGTTATACAGACCAATTTATCCCATGAATTTAACCACCAATGCTAGTAAATCTTCCTCTTCCTCATCATCATCATCCTCTGCATCATCTTCTTGTTCTGCTATTGCTGGTGCTGCTGGTATCGCTGATATTTCGATTACTTTGAAAGAATTATCACAACAATCAAAGAAAACCTTGGAAACTATATCAGGGTAAGGTCTATTTTTCAAAAAATTATTTACCTCCATCCTTCTCCTCTCATTCTACCTTTCTCTGATGAACTGAAAAGTTCAAAAATTATTTTTTTAAATTCATTTTAATAAATTACATGAATTATTTTTCACTTACAATTTATGATCATTTCAATAATAGTAAACATAATTATTATAGTTTTTAACCAAGATTTGTAAATTTTCTATTAAATTTACATTGACAAAATTCAAGAGATAATTTTTATAATTATTTCAGTTACTCATCAGATATATCATCATTTCCGGAAGCAGATCGGCCTAAATCACCAGCAACAGCAGCTGCGATAACGACCATATCTCGGCATTATTCTCCTACTGAAAATATGTCCAACAGACAATCTCCGGAATCTAACGTACGTCAACAACAACAGTCATTTAATTCAAGAAAAACGCATCAATCTGTGAAATCTATACCAAAAGTTCCCACTACAATTCCATTTCAAAGGATCTCATTCGAAAAACATCAAATTTTATAAAATTCTTCAAATGATACTATTCAGGAATGCAATTTATAAATTAAAATTGAAAATAATAACTAAAAATAAACAAAGACTTAAATTATTATGATGGTTTATATGTGATTTAATATCATCAAAGTGATCAAATCGTGATAGTTAGGATAATGATAATTTAATGATATACAATGTAAGATGTTGTTAAAATGATTAATGTAAATTAAACACATTAAGCATTTCAAAATAGAAAAGTTTTCTTCTTCTTGTCCAATTGTTTCTCTCAGTTGTTGTTTTTTTTTTTTTCTTTGTATTCATAGTTATAAAATACTGATCAAACTTAAGACAGTTGAGCTGACAATCTTTAAACTTTCGAATTTTTTTTGGGAGAAAAAGCACAAAGAAAATAGATAAATTGATGATAGCACACACAATTAGATATGTAAATTAATTTCATAACAATTAGACTTTATTATAAGTTTATAGTTAAAATAAAAGAAAGAATTATGAATTATTGATAGTTTTGCGTGTGCTTTTCTTGATTGAAAATTTCACCAAAATTTTTCTTTTGCTCAAAATTGAAACTTGTAATAATTAATTATCATTAATCGATTAATGCTTAACTAAGTAACATAGTAACATTCATGAAAATGAAATAAGTGACGATGATGATAAAAAAGATGGATGAAATGTTATTTTAAACCTAACTTCCACCCATTTCATATTCAATCTCATTTTTTGTTACTCTTAACTTATTATTGAAAAAAAAAAAAAACATTGCTATTAGTATATATTTACTATATTCTATACAAATTTTTCCACTTCAAATATTAATCGTTTAATTAATTTTAAAGCGTGAATTTACTGACATAATATCGTAATTATTTCATATTATAGGATATGGCAGTATTGCCTCAAGAGAAAGACCTCATCATGTTGTGTATATTAAATAAACAAACAAATAAACAATCTATAAACTGATAATGTGATACAAACAATTCTCCATTTAATAAGTTTGCTAATAATTAATTTAAAACATGATTATTTGCTAGAAATGCCTTTCGTGATAAAAGCATTCATTATTTGAATTGAATTTATTTCTTTCATCTTATCATGAATGAGTGCCAAATTCGAAATAATTAAGGTACTTGATCTAGAACCCATTATGTATACATACTTAAAGAACAAATTCCCATATTTACTCTTTTTTTATATTATTTATATTAACTTTTTCATGTCAATCAAGGAAATTCACAGTAATAATTTCGAGGGAAAAGCAAATTAGTGGAATGAAGCATTCATCCTCAAAAAAAATTTTTTCTTCATGAAACAAAGTCTTTCCATGTGTATGCCAAAACAAATTGCCTTCAAAATAACAGTTGATTTATTTTTTTTTTTTTTTACATCTGATATAAATCAAAATAAGTTCTTGTCCCAATTAATTTATTTTTCTTTCTTTTATAAACAGTTTTTAAATTTCAGAATATAAAAGCGATTAAAGGAAACAAAGCATAGTTGTTCTTTTCGTAAATATAGCATTCACAAAGAAGAAGGAATAGATCAAATTAGAAAATTTATCCAATTGTAAGGAAAGACAACCATGTAATGAAAAAACCGAAAGTGTGAAGTATGTATTTACAATAGTACGTACTTGCAATCAAGTACCACAAATATAAATGTTGAAATAGAAGATATCTTTATTTAATTACACATGGAAATATTCAAGCAGTCACCTTCTTATGAATAGTTAGGTTTGTACTTCGTACTATGGGAAAATACCTGAAAATGTTTTTCTCTTGTATCTATCTAATATAACTTATATTTTCATCAGGAATATGATGTCTTTATTTATCATTGCTTTTCTTGTAAAGAACTAACTGCAAGTAGGATATAGTCATACTAAAGCTTTCTGAAGCGGGATTAATGTGAAATTTATTCAGATCGATCCATCATTTGAAGAGCTTTTCATGGGCTATTTCAGTTTTAAATAAAAATGGAATTAGTGATAAAAATAAAGCTGAAATGTATCACGGGAAGCAGTCATAAATTGTTCACTAACCTACAAACTATGTTAGTGGAAATACTAAGAATGTAATACTAAGAATTATCATTACGACAAGTAGTCGATGTCGGTTTGCAACCTTCGTATTCCCCCAGATTTGGGTTTCTTAAATCTCCATGTCCACTATCCTTATTCATCCCAGGAAACCTCGAAAGAGGAGCACCAAAGTTTTTTACGCATGCACACCTGTAAAAGAGACAATAAATTATAGCTATTGTTATAATGATAAAACAAAGTTCATATACAAAAATAAAGCTGCTTCAGCTATAGCTTATTTTTTCATTCCTTCAGTAACACTTCCACTTATTTTTTCATTCATCATCGTTAACACACACAAAAAAAATGTTTTTTAGAGGAATACTCTGCAGTAACAGTAATTTTAAAGAAAGATTTAAAATACATTTATAAAATTAAATTTAGGAAAAATATCCATCAAATAAAAGATACAATAAGGAATTTCAAATCTACCGATAAGATTTCGATCCCGCATCAAACAGTTTTCTTGGCACTCCAACCCAATCTCTTTCGATGCCACCACTAAAATATAACTTGAAATAGAAACCTCAAAAAAATCTATTCATTATATGAATCTTTTTCGCAAATGGAATATATGTGAAAAGAAAAAACAATAAATAAATAAGTGCATATAATAAGTTGAACAATTACAGTAATAAAAAGCAATTATTTATAAGTTTCAATTATTTATGACCTTCTCTTAGAACACCACACTCGGCCACCAATATCTTTTTGCCACTCAGAATTACAAGGCGGAAAAATTTTTGCTTCTTGCACTTGCATATCTTTCCAGTGAAGTGCATTTTCTATCAGCTTGACCACTTCCTGCAATTTGAAATTTGTTCTAAAATTTTTTCTAACCTGACGAATTCTAATTATATACAAAAAGTATGCATCGACGATATCCTTCATTACATCAAATTTTGGTTTAAAATTTTTTCCGAACTTTTTAATGCTGCGTACCATTACTTAAACTTCATTTTTTTTTTTTTTTTATAAATTTTGCAATAAAAACTATTGAAACTGTTGCACCATAAATAATGCATGGAAAAAAGACATTTCAAAGCTAACATAATTCAAACTATATTTTGTAAAATCTTTATATATTCCCTACAAAAAACACAATCAGAATCTATGAATGAGGCAAAGGTTTCACTGACATTATAACAAATTAAATTACGACCAAAACAAAGAGCCTAGAAAGGATTCTTTTTTCATTTCTTATTTTAATCATTCCAACTTTAGTCGTAATAAACAAACAAAAAAATTACTGAAAGTTATACTTTTAAGCGTGCAGTTGGGTTGCCAGAAGCATCATAATATGTTCCCTGGAGATATCCGGCCAGATCATAGTCTTTTTCATAAAATTTGACCCAATCAAAAATGCCCAATAGATCCTGATCATTAAGACCTTGTATATCATCCACTAAGCCTTTTTCAGAAAAATCGCCACTGACAAATGCACGCGTCGCATCCCGACCTAAATAAAAACTAAAATCTAGTGACAGTCTTTATTTTATCAACTGTATATTAGTTAACAATCAGTCATGAAATCAGCACACTATTATTAAGCGTGCAACGAAAGACCGCTTAGAAATACCAGCAAAGAAATGATATGAACCGCCGGGACCATAATGCTTCGCGCCTTTTTGTACATCGTATATGCGACCTAATATAGCAAGATATGTTCCTTTGGACGGACGCGTTCCATCAAAAAAAGATAACTGTTCCCTGTAACACGGCAATGAATAAAATGCACCATTAGAAAAAGATTTCAATCAAATGACATTAAGAGAATCAACAATCTATTGATGAATGGAAAAGTTGTACCTTGTTAAAACAGGTAAGCTAGCATCAACTTTTTCCATAAACACAGCACTACTTGTATCTACTTTTTGTTTTGCACGACTTCCTTTGGTTGAAGTTTCTGGATTTCCATCGCTAATCAAAGAAAGCAGACTATCTAGCAGTCCCCGAAATAAGTCAATGGTACTTTCAACCAATGGGAGCTGAAATATTAAGGGGCAAGCATAACGAAACTTTATCAAATAGACACATTTGATAAAGTTTCGTAAAAGAACTATTATAAATGCCATTTATATCTAGCATTTCGAAATGCCATAAAGGAAATTTTATCAAAAAAATAGGGCAGTCTTAACGACTGCAAATAAGCAAAATAGTAAGCTATGAATAATATGATAAGCTTTTTCCAAAAAATTAACTGAATTTTTTTTTTTGTGCGGGCAAAAATTTGTAGGCATACCTTTCGAGACTGTTCTGATATCCACGATACGACGGGGAATAAAACATCGCCAGTATTAACACCATTGTAACCGAACAAGAATGATATAAACATTACCTAAAAATTTGTTAAAATAGAGCAAATATTTAATATATCAGATTAGTGTTTGATAGAAAATGTCACTATGCACCGCATTTCATCAGATTATGATATATTTCCAATATATCAGAATGCTCGAAGAGAGCTATACCTAGTAGAATAGAAAAGTATTTCACTAATTTCTACAGCCATAATATATCAGATTTATTGGCAATTTTTTCAATTAAAAATAAAAATATAAAAAGACCCAAATATTCTTCTTAATACTGTCCCTCTTATTTTCAATGAATTTTCTGTTAGCAGTGGTTTTGAATCACATATCTTCTGTAATGTTGTTCTACACTAAACTCTGCCAAAAAAATCTATGATAGCGGATAAGGATGTCATCTGATACTCAATTGAAATAATCGGACGAAATGGAAGAAAAAAAAATGAAAAACTTAAGATTTATAAGACTAAATATATTTGTAAAAAAAGACGATTTTCAATGACAAACTCAAACCTGAAATGCACAACAAATAAGTGCAGAAGTATAAAGCTGTGGTCGAGGAAAATACAATTTTCGTCTAACCGCGCTTACACTGCGGTCACTCCGCCTTTCATTGCCGTGATTTGACTGCATTGGTTTTTGACTAGAAAAAAGTGTATTATTAAACTGAAATGTTCATGTAGAAAAGTGCTTGAAAATATATTAATTTTTTACAACTGCAGTTTATAAAATTATTTCATGTGTGCATAGAAAAACTTTCTAACAGCTTTTTTTAATTTTTTTTAATAATGATTCGAATAATTTCAGCTGGTAAACAACAAACATGCACATTTAAAAAGTACATCAATGTACCGAAATGTTCGTGTAGAAAAAATAAAACAGTCTTGCTCATCGCAAAAAAAAAAATGTACACTTATGTATAACAGACAATTTAATAACTTCTATTTGCAGTAACTGCAGTTTTGCATTTCCAAATAGCTCAATATATGTAAATAAATTTTTTCAGCAAAATAATTGAACGATTTACGTTAGTTTTTATCTAATCAAGGCAATGCAAAAAAAAGTAATACTAAAATTTTTAAATTTCATTACATTCATTACATAAAATATTCATTCATATGTGATATTAAAAAACATATATAATGATGATCAAAACATAATTTCGCGCTCATATATAAAATATGCTCTATGCAAATTTATAAGGTATGGCAATTATGAATGGTTAACAACTATCAAATCGTTTCACTAAATCTATTTATGTGATTGTAAAAACAAGCGATGATTAATCTTATTAATACAATACTATAAACAAAAACAATGTATTATATCAAATTAGCTCATCTAAAATTAAAAAAAAAAAACTCCCCACTTAAATAATTGTAAAAAAAGGAGAAAAAAATTAACCTCATTTTCTAATATGATAGTTTCGTTGAAGATATTGAAAATTTCGTTTACTGACGTTAGTCAGTTTGACTTTCTAAAAACAATTTTATCAAATTCGCATGCTGTTTGTTCGATATTTTTGTTTGTCTGAAAGAAATATTCCAACAACCATAATAACAGTAATGGTAGTACTGATAATAGTAATAATGATAACAGCAATAATAAACATTACTTATCAGATTGTTGCGATTTATTTTACTGCTATTTATTTTATTCAGAAAGATTAAATGATTCGTTGTTAGTAGTTACTGATAATTTTATTTCATATCAATTAATTAATAATGCATCCTTTCCTACTTCCATCATCATAAATAATCCCTCAGAAAAAGAAAATAAACAAAGAAAAGAACAACTACAAAAATACATTATGCAGCACACAAGACGAAGTGTACGAATTTTACGCTGGGAATTCTTGAAGAGATGCAAGGAAATAGTATGAAAGGATGAGAGATAAACAATTGTTAGTGAAAGAGCTCGTAGAAAAGAGAGTGTAAGAAAGTATGAATAAAAGATAATTACAAAGAAAAAAATTGAATTAAAAAGAATTTTTTTTTTTTAATTTACAAAAGAAAGAATAAAAAGTTCTTTTCATATTAATTATTATGAATTTATTTGACATAATTCAAATAAATTCATGATTCAGTGATTTGATTTGCATACGTAACGTAGCGTAACGTAACGTAACGCTCACGGATAACTAAATAAGTCATAAAGAAATTGACGTATGCGTTAAATATTCTTGCAAAATTATTTTATTAGGTTATAAAAACAAATGATTTTTAAAAAAAAAAACGCACGAAAAAAAAATTCATTATCTTGAAACTATTTTATAGATTTTTTGCAATTAAAAATTTTTACACAAATTTTACATTTAATTTGAATTTTGTGAAAGTTAATTTTTATAATGCATATGTAATGATTTCGCTAATGATAACTTTTATTTTACACAATTTTTGCAAATGCATATTAAAAAAGCATTTGATAACTTTTTTTTTTTATTAAATCAAGCTAAACCATATACATATGTATGTATAATATTTGATGCATTGAAAATATTCGATATTATTTCACATAAAAATGAAAATAGTTTAATTAAAAGTTTAATCGAATCAAACTTTGTTACATTAACATTTCAAATATGATATGTGATAATTAAAATATTCGTTAGATTAAACAAAAAGAAATCAATGAATAATAGATATCTTTTTAAATAATTAATAGATTTCATTTCCATTTATGAATTTTATATAAATAAAACAATCGTACAACAACAAAATATAATTGAACACATTTTTTAATTACAATACAGCCATACTGTTAAATGCATTCAGTCATTTGTTTATTTTACAAAAAAAAAAAAAAAAAAAAAAAGTTATGGATAACAATTGTAATTGAAAAAAAAGAAAAAAAAAGATTGATTACTTTTTATTTCAATTCATTTGCTGTTAAAGTGTTTGGTAAGAAAAATAATTGAAATATGGAAGTCAAAAATAATTTCAAGAAAAAGGAAAAAACATAAGAAATCGATCTAAATCAAATTTTACATTTAATTTGAAGAAAATATAAACAAAAAAACATGAAAACTTCCTTGAAGGAATTTTTTTTTCTTCAAAAGAAGTATCAACACAAATTAATTGTTTTATATTTATCAAAACAATAAAAATTTTGAAGTTTAATTCATTTAGAACAATATATAAAATTTAAAATGCTAAAATTATTATGTTTATTTCGTGCAAAAAAAAGTAATACATTATGCTGATATGAAGAAGAAGAGGCTAAAAATAAACAAATAATGAATAATTAAATAAGATAAAAAATAAGATCAATGAGATAAGTAATATTTTGATCTTATCTTCATGCATCAATTTTTGCATTAACATTTAAAATCCAACGTATTATGTCAATACATTAAATCTTAAATCTCTCTCTCTCTATATATATAGATTTAACATACTTTATTGCTAATTAAAAACTTGAAACATTGAAATTACTTATATGCTTAATGCCCAACCATGAAAGACTATAAAAATAAACAAAAAATTTTTGAGGATTACAGAATTTAATAGACATTTTTTTTTTGAAAATATTTCAAGTAATACTGAAACCAATACTGATTAATTTATCCTCTGTATTTGAATAAATACCTGAAATTATTTTAATAAATAAAATTTGTCATAGAAATGGGACACGAAAAAAATTGAATTAACTTAAAAAAGGTAAAACAAAAGTAATTGAACATATATTCAATTTGTTGAAAGTAGCTTAATTCAACAATTTATGATTAATTTTAAATGCCCAAAAAGCATTTCCTTTATCTTTCTTAACCCATATTTCATTGATTACCGTTTTGAACTCATTTTTCATTATTTCATATTTCATATTTTCTGTTTTCAAGCATAAAAATGCTTTTATTTCTTAAATGATTGTACGTTTGAATTATATATTGGTAAATTATTTGATTCATTTAATTTTTCAATTTCTCATTAGATTAGCCTTATTACTATTACACTTAAAATATATTCAGATTACGACTAATTAATTCAAATTTACTTTTTTTTTTTCATTAAACTTAATACTCTATCTTTTTCCCTTGCTAGCTTTATTAATTTTAAATTCAATATTTTATTTTTTCTTTTCTTTTTTACAAATTCCTTTTTTTCTCTTAAAAAAATATGTATGTATGTTTGTTTGTATTTGTATTTGTCGGTATCAAATATATGCCTGCAATTCGTTTGCATAATTTTAGCTTATTCATCGTCTATGATTTATCGATGAAAAAAAAAAAGGAGCAATAGAGGAATGTATGATTGATTTAGTATCATTTCCAATAATGTGATATGGTAGCTTATTACATTAATATTATTTATTTATTTTTTTAATTTTTATCTATCATTAAACTTTCATATCGATTTTTATGCTAGCAGAGAAAAGAATTTGCTTAAATATATTATATTTGTGATATAGGAAACATTTAATAGAAAAGAAAAAAGAAATTTATTTATTAAATAAATAATTTCTTATTTCATTTCATCTTCCTATTTTATTTATTTATTATCGTTTTCATTTTTTATTACATTTGATTGTTTAATTCATATTTTTATTTAATAATTTGTTTATTCTTTTCCAGTATACCAGAAATCATCACTGATTACAGATTTCATATCTGATTCAGTTGAATACATCATTTCTAATAATAATTATTATTATTAATAAATAATTATTAATGATATGATAGCAGTAATGATTATATCAGTATCAGTAATGGCAGAGAAAAATTCCACTTATAATACAAATTAACGGATAGACAGAACAATATTAAGTGAAAGGAGTAGTATGACATTGATTTGTTATCAAATATCTTTCAAAAATATTTTCTTATGAGCCTTTTCATTTTTTTCTCCTTGTTGTTTTTCTTTTTGATTATGCAAACAAATCATTTATACAAAACTTTTTTTTAAATGTTGTTAAAAAATTTTTTAACTAAATTGTTGTTTAAAAATTTCTTCTTTTTTTTCAAATGTATACTCACAGAAATGTTTTCATTAATGATACTATTTTAGAAACGAAAAAGAAAAACTAAAAATTCCTGAACTTTATTAAAATCTCTTTCCCATCTTTTTCCGTTGTTCCATATTTTTTTTAAAACACTTCTATGACATTTACTAATTAATTTTGCTATTACTTATTATCTTTCCTTTATTATATACATCAGCAACCATCCAAATGACATATTACTGAATGAATAAATCTATTAAACTTTGATAGTTTTAAAAATTTGAAGTTTGTAATTGGATTACTATCATTTAAAATCATTTGGCTTATTATAAAGAATCTGCTTTTAAATATTCTAGTGACTACTTTCAAATGATGTTTCACTAGTGCCCAATAGCAATTTCAATTTCATATAAAAAATTAGTTTTTCTGACATGCATTGATAATGCTATGTTATCAGTATCAGTATAATCATATTATCAGTATGATTTTACGATCGATGTTTTATCAATGGTCATTTCTCGTTGTAATTTTGTGCTAAAAAAATTTCTCATCAAATGATTAAAATTTTCATTGCATCCTCTTCTCTTAGTCTTTTTTCTAAAGCTCTTATCAGTAAATTGTTATCAGTGCTTTCTCAATGAACTTAAATGCTATCCAATCATTTTTCATCCGTCCATAATAAAAAATTTATTTTC